TTGTGAATTCTGTGAAGAGGTTGCTGTTTCGTCCTCGATTCTGCAATGTTTCGGTCTCCCACGTGTGTGTGGCGAGCTGTACCGCCGGGAACGGTGCAAAAAAATAAAAAAATAAAGAAGCGTCGACAAAAAAATATGACGTCGACGAATTTTTAGCGTCGACGTCATCGACGCGCCGCTACAGGCCTAGTTAACAGACCTGTGTGTGTTTTATATCACTAGTGCAGTGTCCGTTCTCGGAGCATATAAGCCCTGCTCGCGTGAGGCGCGCCGCTTCCCGCTCGCGCTGTTCTGTAGTTTATTAAAAGTTTATTCATTCTGAACGTGTCGTGTCTCGCCTGTCTATCTATATTGCACCAAATACGACACTGCACTCCCTGTGAAGTCGTTTGGATGAACGGTTCTCGAAATAATCAAAATGCAAACGGACAGACAGACATATAGAGATTCCGAAGCTTCGAATATTCGATGTTCATTACTACCGAAGCTTCGAAGCTCAAAAAATGGTATTCGGACCAGCCCTAATAATTACATACAATTTAATTACATTTAATTAAATTTCTTATTAAAAAAAAACGGTACGCTCTGGGTTCAGATATTTGTGTGAAGGAAATGCATTTATGATATAGGCATATATTTATAATTTCTGCAGCAGATCGCTTTACTCTCTTCCTTACACTTCACCACAACCCTCTTTCCTATTTTTGTCACATTAAAAGTCTAAGATAATCAAAATAATATCAAACTAAATAACAGTTTTAATAACATGCAGTTAAAGTGCTTTAGGTAAATAGGAAGCTAACGAGTGCGTTTTTATATATAGGACTACACAAAAGTCAAATGTATACAAAAATCTATTTCTATGAAAGCCAGAGCTGCTGACAGTCACCTTGAGAGATAGAAAGAGATCTCCAGAAACACTTATGGTATTTCACAAGAGTGTATATTCAAAAACACAATACACGCATACCTTTACTCCACATCCACATTACTGTAAGATGCAAGGACAGCATGGCTATGTTGGGAATAGCACACTACTATTACTACACTGTATAGCATATTTACTGCTGCAAATTGTCTGTAAATGCAGATTCTGTAGCAGAGAACACTCAAATAACCTAATACATTTGCCAAAAAGTGCTACCTAAATTATTTTATTTGAATGAATGAATTTATTTTATTTCGAGCAATATAGTGACATATAACAAAGGCAATAAGAAACATTTGATTTTTGACAACATAAATCAGTCAATTGCTCGAAACGGAGTGGGAAGAAGTCAGACTTATTTAGACCCACCCCGGACTGTTACAGTTAAGGGAAAAACAAGAAAGAAAAACAAAGGTAGCTACTTCCTTAATTGTTGACATTATCATTCCTCACAATTACAATTTAATTTATATATGTATGAAAAGAAAAAACAAAACAAAAAACACCACATCTCTTAAATACACACTATATATTACAGCAGGTAAATAGTTGTAGTAATACCAACAATGGTAATCCGAATACCTACACAGCCTATGAATACATGAAAAAACAAAACAAAACAAAACACAGCATATCTTAAATACACACCATATTACCGCAGGTAAATAATTATAATATTACCAACAATGGTAATCCGAATACCTACACAGCCTATGAATACATGAAAAAACAAAACAAAACAAAACACAGCATATCTTAAATACACACCATATTACCGCAGGTAAATAATTATAATATTACCAACAATGGTAATCCGAATACCTACATAGCCTATGAATACATTTGTTACTGATACCAGCAATGGTACTCAGAATACCTACACGAAAGATAACACAGCCTACAACGATTTAAACCCCACCCTCCTTGTACTGGGACAAGACCTTCTGTTTATAGAGTTCTTTAAACTGGTGAATACATTGACATTGTTTAAGTTCAAGCCCCAAACTATTCCATAATTTAACCCCGCATACAGACACACAGAAACTCCTCCTGGTGGTTTTAACCATATATAGAAAAATTCCCATAGCTCCTCAAACTATACAACTGCTCACACTGTGTGAATAACTTTTGTATATTAGCAGGTAATAGGTTGTGAAATGCTTTAAATAATTGTTGTGCCGTGTTAAGTTTGGCAAGGTCCTGTATTTTTAATAACTTTGATTTGAGAAAAAGTGGATTTGTATGTTCAAGATATTCAGCCTTGTGTATTGTACGTATAGCCCTTTTTTTGTAAGATAAGTAAAGACTGTAAGGAGTTATTATAATTATTCCCCCATACTTCAACACAGTAAGTTAAGTACGGTAGAATCAGGGAACAATATAGGGTACGTAGTGTATTGTAATCAAGGACATGTTTAGCTTTATTTATTATTGCAAGACTTTTGGAGACTTTGGTTTTTATGTGTCTGATGTGAGTTTTCCAAGTTAATTTATTATCTATTGTAACTCCTAAATTTTTTATTTCAGAGACATTTTCGATTTGTATCCCATCTATCTCAATCATCTTTTCCCTATTTTTTATATGATAGCCAAATAATATGGCTTTAGTTTTATTAAAGTTTAAAGATAATTTATTGCTATCCATCCATTTTTTAATATCCCTTAGTTCAGTATTTACAACATTAATAACCTTATCATAATTGTCATCACAGTACAAAATGTTGGTGTCATCTGCGAACAAAACACACTTAAGTAATTTTGAAACATTAAATATATCATTGATGTACAAGTTGAATAATTTAGGGCCCAATATTGACCCCTGGGGGACACCGCAAGAAATGATACTACAGTTCGATGAGAACTCACCCATCTGCACATATTGCATTCTGTCACTTAAATGGCTTTTTACCCATTTTCCAGCCACCCCTCGTATCCCATACCTTTCTAGTTTCTTGAGTAGTATTGCGTGATTGATAGTGTCAAAAGCTTTTTTCAAATCAATAAATATTCCAATGGTAAATTTTTTATTGTCCAGTGCGTTTGATAATTCTTCTATTGCATCAATTAAAGCCATGGATGTAGATCTTTTATTTCTGAAACCATATTGACTTTCATTAATCAAATTATATTTTTCCACAAATTTTTCTAATCGAGTACTAAATATTTTTTCTAGGATTTTTGAGAATTGAGGAAGCAATGAAATTGGTCTATAATTGGTAAAGTTATGTTTATTACCATTTTTAAATAGAGGAATAACTTTAGCTATTTTCATTTTCTGGGGAACACAGCCATTTAAAAATGACAGATTACAGATGTGCGTTAAAGGTGTTGTAATATTATTAATAACTTTTTTTAATAGTGCCATATTGATGGAATGACAGTCCATAGAATAATTATTTTTGGACTTTTGGACAATATCCATTAGTTATTTAACCCCTTAACTGTCACCGTCCCGCTACCGGGACGCCTAACTTTACTTCACTATATTTCTATTAAATCCTAATCTAATTATGACAAATTATATATTGTTGGAAAGGTCAAAGACTTCTAAATGGATATTCTACCCCTGTTTTGTGTTACAAATTATGTAGGAAGAGTAATTGATGAATTTAAGACAAGAGTGCACCTCAAAAAATCTGCATCATAATAGGAGGTCTGACCTTTGTCACAAAAAGTCGATGCACCCACTTTTAATGATTGAAACTTCTGTTTTTATGCTAAAAGTTCATAATAAAACATATAATCTAGTATTTTTCAATAAAAAATGATAATATAATATTATCCTCTAAAAATTATAATATATATATATATTATCCTCTAAAATATAATATTTTCTTTTTTATCGCCTTTTTTATTATATCACAGTTATCATAAATTAGGTATCATTTGAAAGCTTATAAACTCAGAATTCATCCTGTGAAAACCGTTTTATAATTGAACGTTGCGTTACCATAGAAACGGTACTCTAAATTATTTTATCAGGCTCCTCCCCTTTTAGGCATCATTACATTTCATAATTTATGATCAAAACCTTTTCTAATCTTGACAAAACACATATTGTCAGAAAGGTATGTGTCTCAAGGTTCCAAATTTTGTGACAGAATTGATATTTGGACAGAAATGTATTAATTTGTTAAGGCAGAATGTATACAACTAAATTCAATGGAAATCAATGGCACCCGGTGGCTATTTTTGGTACTACGCCTAAACAAAATCTCATGGGAACTTCAATTTTTGTGATATCAACTTCAAATTTGGAACATAACTTGGTTAGATTTATGGCTTTGATTTTATAGTAATTTTAGACTAAAAAATATTTTGTAAAATATATATTATATAAAATAAAAAATATATAGTACAGTATATTTGATTTACTGTAAATTTAAACTTCCATAACTTTTTTATACTTTAATTTTTTGAAGTGTTCTCACTTCAGCAATAATCTGCTGAGTGTTTTCTTTAAAACAAGACCAAACTTGGGTATATATTCCAAAGCATTCTTGAATTACAACCATTTAAGTCTGAATAGTGCATTTTAACCCCCATTCTCAAAAAGGGGGGTGACAGTTAAGGGGTTAACTTCTTTCTCACCAACTGCTGAAAGAAAAATAGTGTTTACATTTTTATCCATTTTTTCAATATAGTGCTTTATTTGTTCGTCTGGGATTTTTGCTGCCAAATCAGGGCCAACATTTACAAAAAAATTATTAAAGCTGTTAACTACCCTATTCATGTTGCGATATTCACAGTTTGAGTCAACAAAATAATCAGCGTAAGTCGTTTTTTTGCATCCTTTTTTAAGAATACTATTTAATACATCCCATGTTCTTTTTATATTGGTTTTATTGTAAATAATTTCTTATAATATGATTTCTTAGCTAATCTTGTTACATCAGTTAACTTATTTTTGTACAACTTATATCTATTCTCAGCTTCTCTTGTTTTCGATTTAATGAATAATTTATATAGATTATTTTTCTTTTTACATGCATTTTGTAGGCCTTTAGTCATCCAGGGACATTTAGAATATTTATTCTGTTTACTGTGAACTGAAACGGGGCAGTGCTTATCATATAAAGTTATTGTAGGCTCTGTCCGTGTCTATATCTCCACAAACAGAGTTCCAGTCTTGCACTCTCAGGTCATCATTAAAGGAGAACTCCGGCGCAAAATGAACCTTTGGTCTAATTACACATTGTTACCTAGTCAACCGTTATCTGAGATTTGTTTTCATGATTATCGAATGTAAATAGTTTTATCTCTAAAAACAGTTTAGCCTATAAAGCTAGTATAACGCTAGTATATTGGGCATAATGACAAATAAAAATCGCTTGTTAATACCACTAACAAGGCTGAAAATAAATTTTAAATCTACGAACGCCGATCCAAGCCTGCTGTTCGCGCTCACCTTATCACAACTTATAGCTCGTTCACATCTCACCAGCGCACTTGGATCGGCGTTCGTAGATCAACTGGTAAAGACTGTATTTCAAAGATGGCTCCTGCCTGTATACGCGAAGTTGACTGTATGTTTAAAATATCTTCTTATTAAACTGTCTGTACACTTACAAAGTTCTCAATGCTTCGGTTTGAAGGTAGGGACCCTCATTATGCTACCGTGTTAGTGTGGGGCTATTTTCAGCCTTGTTAGTGGTATTAACAAGCGATTTTTATTTGTCATTGATCTATGCCCAATATACTAGCTTTATAGGCTAAACTGTTTTTAGAGATAAGACTATTTACATTCGATAATCATGAAAACAAATCTCAGATAACGGTTGACTAGGTAACAATGTGTAATTAGACCAAAGGTTCATTTTGTGCCGGAGTTCTCCTTTAAGTGCATTAAATGCATCTTGAGTTTGTAGTCTTTTACAGCTTATATTACAGATTTCTTTAGTTTTAGAAACATTACAGTCATATATGGCAAAAACAGGCAAGTGGTCCGTAATATCACAAATAAGCAAGCCATTAATTAAGTTATTTGGAAAAATGTTATCAATTAAGGTTGCACTGTGAGATGTGATTCTACTGGGTTTTGTTATTGTTGGAAATAAGGACATGGAGTAAATTTTTTCAATGAATTCATTGGTCAGTTTGTGTTTGTTTGGATTTAAGAGGTCAATGTTGAAATCCCCACAGATGAATAAGGATTTATTGTTAACTGCTGAAAACAGATTCTCCATCTCTCCATTAAAAGTATCAACATTTGACCCAGGTGATCTATAAACACAACTTATAATAATGTTTGTTTTTTTCATTCCATTATTGATTTCTATTGTTATACATTCCATTACATTATCAAGTACAAATGACATATTATTTAGAACCGAATATTTTATAGTCTTATGCACATATAGCGCGCCCCCACCTCCTGTTTTATTTTGTCTATTTATGTAATGCAATTCATAATCATCCATCTCAAAGTCAATTCCTTTCTCTTGATTGAACCAGGTTTCCGATATGGCTATAACACTGAAGGGATAAATAAAGTTTTGTAAATATTCACTTACTGCATTGAAATTTGTGTACAAACTTCTGCTATTGAAATGTATAATAGACAATTTACGCTTAGTAATGCAATTATTGCTGTATTGATCATTTGTATAATAATTACAGTTGTTATTTATAGTGGAAAAAAAAATTGTTGTCAGGATCAATATCAGTCTCTACATCATGCGTATACTCAGTATATTTGAATGCACCCTATTATTTAATAATTATATTTTCAAAATGCATTTATTATAAATCTGTTGATTGTAAAAATAAAATAAAATAAAAATCTAAAAAAATCAGTTAAAGGTATGAACATGATTTAGAAATGGTTAACTGTGGAACAAGCAAGGTTCAATTTTGCCTGTTAAAATGTATGAGACTGGTTTAATCAATTGGAATTTTTGATGACAAATATGTACACATGGTTATTTACACAATTAGTTTATCTGTACCATTACATAAATCTCACTCAGACAAATATGCATCACATTTGAATGCACTACCCGGAAGCGTTTTGCGTCGGCCGTCGGGCGGTTCTTTGCCTCCACGTCGTGCATTAAAATCGTTTAACGCACAGCTAGCTGAGCTTTATTCTGCTTACACCATGGTCATTTGCCAGCATTGACAAGTTAAAGCGGGGCAGCGTTGACAACGAATTTCTGACTTGAGATTTTCATGGTAACAGTCTCAGAAAATATCACAGTTTCAAAGTATACAGTATTAAACAACAATCAATTATTATTATTATTATCTTCAGTGAAAGGGGAACTATGCAGTTTTTTTAGCTTAACTGAACAGCTTCGGAGTTATTGGAATGGTTATATGACGTTTTTCGGGTTGAATGGTGGCACACTCTCACCGTCTTCAAACTGTCTTGCTCTCTCTCGCTCCCTCGCTCATATTAATCAAAATCAATTGAGAATTGACACGATGGTAAAAGATCGGAAGACCGAAGATCACGTGGAGCATTCGGATTTTTTCCCCCCCTGCATTACGGCTGGCTGGAAGTGAATTGTGCTAAAAAACGTTGCCTTATCTTCTCTGAAATTCAGCTGAAATAAAAAACACTTTCAATAAACAAAAAAAAACCTATCCAGTGATTAAAGGCACACTATGCAATATTTGTACCTTAATATAACAGCTTCAAAGGGGTATCAGGCCATGAGTGCAGAGACGCTCTGCGTGAGTGGTATTTACGACGGTAACGTTAAATACAAGTACTCAACAGCGACTCTAGGGGTCACTGTTTGAGAAGAACGGAATTCCTGCATAGTGTGCCTTTAAAATGACTGTTACATTTATGAAAACAGGCTTTTTTTTGGTTGGACAAATGCTTTAAACTTAAAAGCATTTGTTTGTTTTGTTTATTCAAATTTCAATTATCAAAAACATGTCTAATCTATTACATTTAATAATTGATTATAGATTAGATTAACAACTTATTTTATCATTGATCATTTATTAAAATTAAGAATAATAGAGTCCTATGAAATGTATTTTTTTCCCAGAAATTCTGGTTTGTCTGTATTAATTTCTCTGGATTCTGTATTTTATGATTTAATACAAATATAAAAAATGCTGGTAATCAAATGAATGCATAAAACTTAAATAAAACAATTTAATTAATGTTTTAAAATGTAAATCAAATGAAAATTTTATCCTTTTATTATTATTATTTTGAAAATTGCATTCTATTGTAGCCTACAATACTATTATATTTATGTTATAATTTCTTCAAGTTGAACCGAACATTTATTTTGACAGGTTGCTTAGACCTTTGAGTTTCCGAGAGTATTTGAAAATGTTTTTCTCAAATAAAGTGCCGAAATGCTCATTAAGTGTTCTCCCAGAGCAGCTCTGGAGATGTTCATATTGTTTTCATATTGTAAGGCAGCAGACGCTGAAAACACCATGAGCGTCACGCGTACTTGAGTATGTAGTAGACGAAACGGCGCTGCTCACACAGAGACACGCAAAACAAGCAGATTATATATATATATATATATAGCAATCTTTTTGCACTGTTTTATATTCACAGACACTAGACCATGTAGTGATTTGATTTATTGTACAGCTCTAATTTCAATTTATTTATCTATCCATCAATTTGCGTGTTTTACGTGACATCTGCGTTATACTGTAAATTCCATTTTCATGACTGGAGTGGATTCCCTCTGCATCACTGAAAGCATATGGCCTTAAATATAAACATGAAATACTTTTATCTGCACGGAGGAATGGTGATCTCAAATATAGATATATATTCACAAATACATACAAATATTTTGACCTAATATTCAAGATTTCAGGGTACTGCTTCACTTACTATTTTTAACATAGGTAGTATACAGTAAGCTATTTAATAAGTATTTTATGCACAGGAGGTATGCCATTACGAACATAGCCCATGTTCAATATGGAGGCTAAAAAAACAGGTTTTCATGAGACAAAAGCACATCAGCTCTGAATGACAAAAGAGCGGAAGCAAAGGTGCTGATTGGTAGTTAATTACGATGCATTCACAACTTCTGAGCTCTCGTTAGTTCCAAACAATGCTGACATGCTGCACACCAAATGATCTCCATTATCATCGGCTCGCCTGCCGTGAGCAACTTCCTCCGCCTCTGAGGCACCATGCCGTCAGAGCTAGTGAAACCATTGCTTTCTCTCCCTATGTCTTAGCACATGCCAAAAGAAGTAAGAACGAGAAGCCTGAGCACATTATGGGCTGGAAGTTTTGACTTCTGAAAGATACAGGATGTTTTCACAGAACAATGATCTCTTTCATTGTGAAAGATTAATGGAAAAAGAGATGCCTCATGAAATGACCCCTTTAAATTTAGATACAGCTGCAACTTCAAACATTCAACAAAACAAATCATGCCACCAAGCTAACAAAACCTCCAGTCTGCCCACTGTCTGAAGTAGGCCTGTAGCGGCGCGTCGATGACGTCGACGCTTCGACGTCAAAAATTCGTCGACGTCATATTTTTTTGTCGACGCTTCTTTATGTATTTATTTTTTTGCACCGTTCCCGGCGGTACAGCTCGCCACACACACGTGGGAGACCGAAACATTGCAGAATCGAGGACGAAACAGCAACCTCTTCACAGAAGCCATGCAAAAGTCCCAACAAAAGAAAAAGTCCTAAAAAACCCCAGCTCGCACTAAATCATCGAAGGTATGGGAATACTTCAAATTTAGTCCCAAACGTAAAGGTGTCGTTATTTGCGCTCTTTGTCAAATGGAGTTGACATCCCAAGTCTCCCGCATAGTGATAGCGGCTCCCTGATGCCCGCAAATTAGTTAAAATCTCCCGGAATCTAGAGCTCGCGAGCTCCAAACCGTGTAGCGCGCGCAGCGAGGGAGAGAGCGAGAGACCTTGCGCGTGTGTGTGCAAATGTGCGTGTGTGCCTTATGAAGCGCATGTAAACCCCACCCCCGTCAACAAAACCGAAAAATCAGTCCGGATGTTTTTTATGAGCACTGAAAACATTAAAATGAGCACCACATCCAAGTGTGATAGGGCTCATTTGAGTAGCCTACCAAACATTTTACAGTGTAGATACTCTGTAAGAACCAGATCAAAATTGTTGTGCATTGAATGTGCACTCCTGCAATTTCCATGTTACAAAAAAGAATCGTTCAATTAGTCGTTAGATTAGTCGACTAATCGATAAAATAATCGACAGACTAATCGTTTAATTAATAATCGTTTACCCCAGCCCTAGTCTGAAGGCATCAGAGGGCTCATCTTATATGTGGTTTGGCTGATGCAGCTGGGCTGTTTCTAGATCTTTCTCCTGAGGTTCAAAAGGTGGAACGCTACTTATTTGTACAGCTGTTACTCAGCCAACCATCCATGACTCCATCTCTCATGCCCTTGAGGGAGTCAACGAGCTACACTAGGCTGTCCTAAAGGGCCGAAATGCTGTCGATGAGATCATACGATCACGACTTGAGGATGACAGGTGAATGAGACTTTGATAAATTGGCTAATGACAGAATGGAGTGTTTTGAGAGTGACAAGACTGTAAAGTGAGCTGGAAGAACAAAGCTAAAGGACTTCAGACTGTCCTTTCAATGGAAAAGCTCTAAGACTAAGGCCCCGTCCACACTACTGCGTTTTCGTTTAAAAACGGAGACCTTTTGCTACGTTTGCACCTCCCGTCCACACTAAAACGGCAAAAACGGAGACCCAAAACGGAGAAGTTTAGAAACGCTGCCGACCCGTTTTTCGTTTTGAATCTCTGGAGGGCGTTTTAGTGTAGACGGGTCAAAACGGAGGACTTTAGAAACGTTGACGTAGTAGAGGCTCACGCTCGGCTCTATGATTGGGTGTCATCATCAGTCATGGCGTATATCTTTGCTAGCAGCTGTTGTACAAGTAAATTCTGCATTTTACAACGCTATAACTGCCTACATGCGCCGGAGTCAAGCTATTATTCGAGTGATCTGTGACAATTCCCGTGTGCAGCGGCGGCGTTGACCGTACGGAGCGTCGGTTTGTGGTTAACCCAGAGCATGTTGGGATAATTTTATCAATGAAGTTGTGTTTACACCGGGACGCGCATGCCCAGTGTTGGTGAATGGTCACGTGATCCACGTTTTCACTCGTTTTAATGTGGACGGAGATCAATTCTAATACGCAGCTAAAACGCTGATGTGGACGGAGATCGTATTCGTTTTAATTATCCGTTTCTAAACTAAAACGCAGTAGTGTGGATGGGGCCTAAGAGGTTCTGCTGTCTTTAACCTCTCTTCTCCAATTGAGCTGAGGACAGCCTTTGACATTATCAGAAAAAAAGTCACTCATCACTGAAACAGATACCCCAGCCAAATGACATTCACATGGCAGACTTAAAGCGTTTCTGACTCTGCAAATGACACCTTGAGCCAGGACACGGACACCAAAACAGCCTGCACCATTGTAATGTACTGACAGAGGCAGTTCGGCAAATCTGTAATTACATTCCTGTGAAGACTTCATCCTGAATTCAAAAGTCATGCTGA